ATATAAAATGATATGGTATTTGCATATAACCTATGCATATCCTCTTATGTATTGTACTTTAAGCTATCTCTAGATTACTTATAATACCTAATACAATATAAATGATCTGTAAATAGTTGTTATACTGTATTGCTTAGGGAATAATGACAAGAAAAAAAGCCTACGATGTGTTCAGTTCAGATGAAAACATCCATTTTTTTTTCTGAATAGTTTCCATCCGAGGTTGGTTGAATCCACAGATGTGAAACCCACAGATATAGAGGGCCAACCATACTGAGTCCTGACTTCACCCATTCCTCCTACCCCCATTTCTCCCAATCCTTAACCTTCCTTGCAATTCTTGGAGCAGAATACTCATGAAGGAGTCAGGGGTTGTCTTCCCTTCCTAGAAGCAATGCTTCTATGTTGTCATTCGATGTTGAATAAAACATTAAACAGAAAAGGTTTGATAATATCACATAAGAGTCTATTTCCTTGGTTCACACCATGAAAACTAGTGAGATCCCCAGTTCCTCAAAATCTGGGAATAATATGCTTCATATTGCTATCTAATATGACCCACCAACCCCATCTTCCACCCTCCACCTTCCCCTTGTATCCTAACCTTCCATTTCATCATGCAAGCTGCTAGAGTCGTGAGTTGTTTCTGAGATGAGTGAAGGACCACTGACATATATGTCTTCCGTAAAGAGTAGTGTAGACATGGCTATAACCACCACCTCCTCCTCTCTTCCCCATTAATGTCACCTAAATTTTGAATGTTTGACTGTGTTATTTTCAAAGAAACTGTAGCAGATTCTGCACATGACATGCTTCCAAGGCACTGTAAGTTCTCTGTAAAAAGCTAAGGGTGTCACTTGTTATCAGGACCTCTAGCCAAGTTGTTGAAGTTGACAGAGTTTTATTAGCTCTGTTTTTGCAATAGTCTGTCTCATTCTGGAGACAAATGGGGAAACTCTGCCTTCACGCTGGGTTTGTTTTATAGCTCTTAGATGTGTAATGCAAATGAATGATGTTGAGCCATTTCCAGCCTGTGGTGATGGGTGTCAGTTTCTTGGACACCACTAGGAAATCTGTAACACTGAGCCACGTCATAATGATTCAAAGGCAAGCTGTCCTGGAGACAGGGCTGGACTCTGTGACTCACAATTAGAACTCCATGGCTCTAGTTCTGACCCTTCTTATGACTGTGTGGCCTTGGATAGGTCCTTTCATTTTGGTTCCATTTCCTCATCTATAAAGACAGAGACCTGGATGAGCTCTAAGTCCATTCCAGCTCTGTCATTTTATTATTCTAATAAATGAATCACCAAAAAAGTCGTGAAAACATCCAATCAAGAAAAATAACTGTGATTCTGTTTTATATAGTGTTAAAGATTCCCACTTGACTTTTGAGTCTCTTTACTCAGTATGTGTACCCCAAAGTTCTACTAGATTCCCATAAACTAGTCTTTAAAATTGACCCTGGGCCAGTATAAAATCCTGTCTTATTATAAGGCCCAGATTCTGAGTTGTAAGAAGGTCTGTTTAAAATGGTATGTTTTTCTTGCAGCAATTGTTAAGTGGTCAGGTTTTATGATGTTTTAACATTCATTGCCATTCATTATCTAAACACTGTTCTATAATCCAGGGAGTGTGAGGTTAATAAGTAGAATGGAATTCATTCTGGGTTTGATTTCATCTGCTGATTCTAGTGGAAGACTCTTTATATCTGTTTCTTCTTTCTCAACATGTTTAAGCAGAGAAGCTCTGGCTCTCTGTTCATGACCTTAAATCTCTTTGACTTTGGGGAAGGAAAAATGTTGCTGTTTTCAGCCCCACGTTTAACAACTGTAAAATGTGGTGACATGTCATAGAAAGAGAAATCCATTCATCCTCACTACATTTTTGGGTGATTTAAATATTCACCATATTGTCATATGGTGAATATTTAAGTCACTTACGTGTGTTTTTACTTTTAAAACAGAGAATTTTTCCACCTGTATAATGTTCATGAGTCCTAATGTTTTAATGTTACATTAATTCATCTGTTCCATTTCATAATGCTCCAAGAGGGAACAGTGGAGAGAAAGAAAGCTTCAGAGTACACGATGGACATTTCACAGTCCAGTTGCTTCTCAGGCAAAAGGCAACCATGTTGAACCTGCTTCTAAATGTTCTATTCCACCTATTAAGATTATGGATGCCACAGATGGATTTTTGGAAGGCTGTGTCGTTTTAACTAAGTCATTCTCCCATTCAACAAGGCACTCACTCTCTTATCTTCCCATTTCTGACTCCACCACCACCACTCCCTCCTAAGTACACACTAATACTTGGACTACATTCACCAAAACATATAGTTTCATTAACTGATTGCTTTGCTGCACTCCAAATGGCCTAACATTTTGTAGCTGAAGGAGTGTAAATCATGCCTTATGTGGGCTACAGTAGGATGTGATGTTTAGAGAAAGGAAAATATGCTTCCTTATAGAAGCAAGAAGCACTAAGCCATCTGGATTGTAAAGAAAAAAAATTTGGTCATTTATTCTGATGTTTTGTCTGCGTAGTACCAAACATCTGGAAGTTGGGTGACAGAATTTTTCACATCCAGATGTTTTTGCATTATACTGAAACATAGCTATATATTTTTAAGAATTTAAATAGTAAAAGCATAAAAGATGTACTAATTTCACATTTTGAGGTAGAAAAGATAAATGAAACTGAGGCAAACTTTTGGCTGGTTCTTCATGTAATACACTATTTTTTTCAAAAGTCACTTGCTGCAACTAAACTCTTAGAATTAAAATAACTATGAAGAAATATCCCCAGAAATACTGAATCTCTGCCATTAAAAGCACAATTTAGACTGTTGCTTAACAGCTGCAATGTTGACATAATGCAAATTCAGGTAACACTTGGATAGTTAAAAGCAATTATTCTGAAATATAATTACTTAGCAGTTTAAGAGAGTTTCATTCCAAGTGACTCTGAACACATTTGTTCATTCCACACAAATGAGAATGCATGATCAAGGTTCTAATGGGACTTGCAAGGAGACTTTTCAGACCTTTTCAAGAATCAGTTTTGAGAAATGCTTTTAATGATGCAAAATAAAGAACTAAGATTCCATCTACTGGAGCCACCTTGAACGCTTGTCACAAGAACACAGGCAGAAAGGAGTATTTAAGCATTCTGTGACACGACCCTTTGAAAAAAAGTAAAATATTTTGTGTCGTTTTGAGAACTGCATTTTTCTTGTCCTCTCACATTAAGTGGCCTTGGATCTAAGGCTTGTTGGAAGACATGTTCAGAACCTGTTTCCTTGTATTAGAAGACACAGAAATCTGGCTCTCAACTGCCAACAGGCTTCGTGGGCATTGCTATGCCATGAGAATTCTAATATATTTTTCATTATTTCCACAAAGGCATACAGAATGTGTGCATTACACACAGCAGTATAATTGAGCTGAACTGGCCTGGTGCCGCGTTTTTGCTGACTCAGCACATGGTTTCTCTTTCCCAGATTACTAAAACAACTTTCCTCTGAGGTAAAAGCTTCGCAGGAAAGCAAAGGGGAATAGAAATACAGAGGGGCCTTATTTTCACCCTTAATTATACCAAGTCCAAAGGCAAATGCAAACTCAGACCGAACTTTTTGAGGCTTCAAAAATAAAAAAGGTCCCCCTTTGCTTCTCTTCCCAACCCCTGCACCCGTGGGAGTCACAGTAAATTAGAATCCAGCTTGTTTTTCAACGATGAATTTGCACCGGGGCCTCTTCCGCTTGGAGTGGCGTCCTTGATGCGGACTGCCCGTGCCTTTTTTACGCTTTGTCTACAGTATTTTAAGCGAGACAAGCCAACCTCGTTTTGTATGGACTTGCACCAGCAAACATTTAAGACTTTCGCATCAAGGATACTGCATATCCCAGACACTGCGTACAAATTTTTAGGATTTGGGGTCACAACACTTGTTCCCCTTCTCCGCCCGCTTCAGCGCTAGAGCCTGCAGAGATTTAGGGTCGTGTGTGCACACCGGCCCACAACATACTACTAAGTGGCAATGGCCGGTTCCCAGACGCATCGAACGTCCTTCAAGTTCGGTTCTCTGCTCCTTGACACACTCAGCCATTAGTGCAGCGGGAATCACTGGGCTCCGATTAGCTCGCGGGATCGAGGCAGGCGGAATACTGTGAACCTCCGGTCTTCCCCCCCACTCCACAAGGTCCCCATCTCCCCCATGACCTGCTCGCTAATCAGTGCAAATGCCGTAGGAGGCCAGGCCCGCAACTGGCATTCCAGAGAGCGCGGACCACCAGCCGAGCTTTAAATAAGTGCAGATGTGACAGACAGGGGAGACCCAGGGAGGGCCGCCTCTCCCGCCCAGCACCTCCCTCCGGGCTCAGGCCGGTGCGCCGCGGGCAGCAGCCATGCACACAGGGCGCCCGCTGGCCTTAATGTCGCCGGGGACTGGGGCGCATACCAAGTGACGGCAAAGGGAACAGAGGCCCGCGAGTTCGAGGGCAGCGCGGGAATGGTGTGAGCCCTGTCACCCATACCTTCCGTGGCCCCACGGCTTCTTCCTGAAGAGGCTGGGGGATAGCCGCCCACCCTCGCCTCCACCGGTCCCACCGTCGAGAAATCCCGAACCCGGCTGGCTGGAAAGCCGCGAAGGCCTGGCTCTTCCGCCGCAAGGCCTAGCCCCACCGCCGACAGCCGGGAATCGCCCCCACCCCACACGGAAATGCACCCTTCCCGTTCCCAGCCCCGAGCTGGGCGCCTGGTGAGAAGCGAGGTTGTAGGCGTCCCTGCCTGCGGGCGGCGGTGTGCGGTCCTGGGCGTGCGGGCCGCGGCGCGGGCACAGCTCAACTCCAGGATAGCGCCACGCGACCGCCACCGCGGGGTGGGGCCTAACCCGGGGCGAGAGACCTCCCGCGGAACGGCGACCCTCAGCCTCCGCTCCAGCCCGACTGCTGGCTCCGCATCTACCAGGCCGGTGGGAAAACGGAGAAAAGGAGGAAATGGACCCTGGCGCGCCCCGGTGTTTCTTCTGCCCGGAGCCTGACTCCGACTGTCTTCACAACCACCACCCCCAACTCCCCTACCTCGGGCGGCTCCATTCACCCCATCCCGGGGCGGGGCTCCCAGCCCGCGCGGCCATTCTCGCCTACGGTATCACCCTCCAGACCGGGCTTGGCTTCGGGTCCGAGCAAACCCGCTTTCGCCCGTCCCCGCCCGTCTCCGCGGGTGCCATTCCGTTCGCCCGGAGGGTGCAGGGGTTCGAAGCTGCACACCACTTGGCTACTGCCCGCCGCCCTCACCCCACCAGACCCCGTCTCCGCGTCCCCCCGGTTCCCCGGGCCGTGGCACTTCCCTCCCTCCAGTCCGCGCGCCCGTCCGCCGCAGGAGCGGCTCCCCGCCTTAGCCCACAAGCCGCGAGGTGCACGGCCCTCTCTACCGAGAAGCCTGGCCTCGCCGGGCCTCGCCGTCGGCCTCCAGCGCCGACATCCGTTTCGGCGCCCACTCTTCGTTCTGCGCCCCTAGACGCCCATCGGCTGCGGGAGAGGCTCCCGGGAAGCTCGGCGGGGCCCCACGCAGAGCCCGCCCGCCGGAGCCGCAGTGCTGCGAGCGTTTCCCCGCGCCACCAGTCAGGCAGGTCGCGGCGCTAAGGGCTCTGGGCGGAAGCCGTCGACACCGGCGAGCGCTGCACCCTACACTCCCCGCCGGCCGGCCTCTGTGCGCAGCGCCCACAGCCACGTGCGCGGAGCCGAGCGGCACCCGGCCCGGGGCCGCCCAGCCCCCGGCGCCGGAAGGGGCCGCCGCGCCCGCCCCGCACCTGCACCCTCCTCTCCCACTTGCCTTTCCATCTGCGCGCGGAAATGCCACGGGCTTAGAACAAACTTTTTTTTTTTTCCAGCGATATTCACGAGAGAGACGAAGAGGACACGGTCATTCGAGTGCCGAGGCGCGGAAGCGCGAACTGCGCGGAGCGACCTGGCTTGGCGCACAGACTCATTTACCAAGCTCGAGAGGCGGCAGCAATGCGTGTGCGGGAAGGGGAGCGGTTCTCAAAATACAAAGTGATAAAACAGCTTCCAGTTGTGTTGAAAAACGATGCAAACCCTCAATTCCTTTTTTTCTTTTTTGGACCTGGTCGGACCTGAAAGTGCCGGTTATAAACAAGAACAAAACCTTGAATTTATTGGTGGAAGTCCTATTAAAAGAGCCCAACACAGGCATATGAGACAAACTGCAAGGTGATCAGACGACCATGCTATATATTGAGGGGACAGTCAAATGAATTTTTCTATTATTTTGTAAAGTGCAAAATTTAGCTAAACAATTTTAGCTAGTGCAAAATTTGCTGTAGGTTTCCCTAGAGCAAACGATCTCAGATAATATGGTTACTTTCCTAATGTAAGAATTCTTGATGATGTATCACCTGAAACAGTACTCACAAGGCTTCTGATCGTGTAACATAAACGGCAGGACATAACCAAGCTAAAGACCTTAGTCTCCTTGTGTAAATACTTAATTCCATCATTCAAAAATAGTTGTTGGTTTGTATATAATTCACCGCAGGGCTAAACATAGCTGCCTTTTTATGAATAGTATCCCAACTTTCCTCCGACCCCAAAGAAGACAAACTCAGTGTCAGTATTTTGTTCTTTAGTGGGGAATGAATTGTCCTCTTCAGCCACCTGAGGTGCTCCGGAATGAGATGTTCGAAGCGTTCCTATAAGGATAGCCTGGGTGATGGTGCAGGTGTGGGCTGATTTAAATTACTTGCTTTTGTGGTGTTCCACAGGGTCAAATGTAGGCACTGGTTTTAGGGAAGGCAGAGAGAGTAAGACTTCCTGAGTTAAAATGCCCATGTGCCCAGCCTCAGATAAAAAAGATAATACAAACCTGACAAGGCATTAGCTGATGCATCAAATGATGTGCCTGTCAGCATGAATGTCATCAATAAAAAAATTATTTAATATTTGCACTCAATTAGTCAAATGATTCCACCATTTTAAGAATTTTCACACATAAGAAATTAGTAAAATAATCAGTCAAATATTCTACACTCATTTAATGGTAAATTATCTAGCAGCAGTATACTTATTTAATTTGTTGGCATATGTAATAGGGAATTGATGTTCTTAAAAATGGGGTGCAAGAATTTCAGTTAATTTTTCTAGACTAGTAGAAAATACTAACAAAATTACTCAAGAATTTTTTTTAAAAATCATTTTGGAACAAAAGACAAATGTCAGGAAACAATATCAGAATAGACTTAACATCTGAAGATATTAGGGAACTGAGTATATGGTTTCTTAAATGACAAAACCTCTTAGTGGCTTTTAAAAATCTCTGCTAAAACACATAAAATGGGCTTTAGGTTATTTTGTCTTAGGTAAGTAGAATTTCTTGTATACCATCATAAGAAACTAAAAGCTCTGTTGGTTTTATTCCCTAAGTATCAGTAATTTAAATTCTCTGAATGTAATTGACCTTATTATGTTGAATCATAGGACATAAAAGCTACCGGGGAATCTCTTTATATATAATTATGCAGATCAGTAGAAGTTTTTAAGTCACTAATAACTAGACATATAAATTTTCTGGGTTGAAGGAGTGACTGTAAATCTATCTTATATAATTTTCTAGCCATCTTTTAGTATGAGATAAATTATAGCATATAAACATCCTTGGGATCAGTTTTATTATAAGGAAATTATTTTCTTTGCTGTCAGGCATTCCCATGAGGGCAAATTTTTATTATATTTTTGAGAGCTGTTAAATTTGATGATTAAACAAATAACTCCACACCAGTGCTCAGAAAAGTTCTCAGACTATTAATAATATTTTACTTTTGAGAAATGCATTTAAAAATATAAAATTAGTGGCATTAATATTAAATTTTCATAACCAAGAATCTGTGCATAGAACAGGAAATATGTGCAAATAAAAACCAAATATCGAGGTCCAGGTGGAGAAGGACATTAAAAATTATGCTTGGCAGAAAAATAATCTATTTTACCAACAGTTCTTAAGGTCTGCCCTTTACGATGATGAAACTGCCCAGGCACCCCCTCACCAGCCTCGAACAATTGCAGCTGTGTGTATGTGTTGTGTGGTGTTTTTTTTTCTCCCCATTTCAATCTCCACTTAGCCTTTGCAGAGTAAAGAAATAAAGGAAGAATGAAAATCTTGAGCTAGCCTGATACCTATAAGGACTTATAGTTTATTAATTGGAGAATTTAGTTTAGCCCCCCCTCTCTATTCATCTGAAATTAATTAAGTGTATAGAATTACAAGGTGGGTGTATCCGAGACAGCAGGCCCTGCTCGGACTAATCAAAAGGGCACATGTTGAATGAGTACAATTTAGTTAAGGTTAATCCAGTGAAGATGATACCTCCCTGGTCTTAATTACTCTAGGTGATAGATTGTGGAATGGGAAAGTAGGAAGGAAAGGAAATTCAGTCCTACTGAATACCAGGATTTTCTAATTTAATTTAGTTCTCTGTTTTCACAGAAGCAAATGGTCTCCATTGAGAGAGCAGGACCACACTCTCTGGGTTCTTGTTTAAGGTGGGTCAAAGAAAAAAAATTATTTGCTTGTATGTTTTTAAGAAAAAGACATGGGAACCAAACATGAAGGTTTCAAAGGTGTTTGTGATAACGCGCCTTTCATTACAGACATGTCAGTTTGAGAATTTTGTCACAGCTCAGTGGATTCTTTATGATTTCTGCTGGTGGTTGCTTATTTTGTTGAACTCTCTTCTGAGTGCTGAGACTGGTCAATATGCTGAAATAAATCGACATGTTTCTGTACCTACAAGACTGCATTAAAGAAATGAATGTATCCATAATATTAAAAACAATACCATCTGAATATCAATAAATACAGAACTAACCACCATGGATGAATCGCATACACATAATACTAAAAGAAGCCAGATGCAAGAATACGTACTTTATGCTTCTGTTTATATAAAGCTCAAAAACATGCACTAATCCCTAGTGTTACGCTAGCCCAACTATAGTGAGGGTAGTGGTTACCCTCAGAGTAGTCACTGATAATGTTCTGTTACATAGGTGTGTTCGCCTTATGAAAACTCATTGAGCTTACACATTTGTGAACTTAAGACATGCATTTTTTCTGTATATATGTTTTATTTCAATAAAACACATACTTCACAAAATGAAAATAAGGGAAAAAATACTAAGAAGTAAAGGCATGGAATTGTGAGCCAATGTATTTTTAAAAGGCAGAGAGGTTGAAGCTGAGGGCTGAGGATATAATTCCCAAAGAGAAAAAATGTACGAAAACATCTGGCAAAATGTTATTAGCAAGGTTTGAATGTGTTCACTTTGCCATTTTAATATCCACCCACCCACAAACAGAATACTACTCAGTATTCATTCTTCACCAAATATAGGACTCTTTCTTGTTTCTTTTGCATGTGTTAAAGTCAAAGTCTGGTTAAGGTGTTTAAGAATCTTATTCTTTGTCTCTAAGACGCAGCACTCCCTGATCCTAAAAAACAAAAACAAAAAAAGCTTATTTTCTCCATGCACATGCATTAAAAAATCATCAGATGATTTTCTCATTTTCAGTTTTGTGATATATTTTCTTCTCAAGAGGGGATATCTGTTTCTGATTTATTAGCATTTGATCTCCTAGTTTCCTGCCATTGATCAAGCCTAATACTTAGCTCAGCTGATGAGTTTTATATGAAATCTGATATTTTAGGAAGATGGAAGGTTGAACCCATTTTTAATATTTGTTTGCCCTTCATCTCTTTCAGCGTTTGACGTGCACATGAGGCACCTAACAAAGCCTAAAACTAAATTTATTTTTCACTACATCTCTCTGGTATCAAACTTTTGGAAGTAAAACATGTATTTATCAATAAAACAGATGTTTGCCCAGCATCATCCACATCCTGTCTACTGTATGTATACATTTACACTCTCCCGCCAAAACATGCCTTCACCCCACTCTTAACCGGCTGTCCGCCATTCAATCTCCAGTGAAGTCTCGGTCAATAAGGTCAACTCCCTGGAAACATCTGCATTTGATCAGTTTGTACAAAACGGGGGCCTTCTTAATACTGGACTTCCCTGAAGTCAGCTACGACAATAGTTGATTCACCACTCCTGCCCAGGCCTTCCTCAGGAAACCTTTTTTTTTTTTTTTTTTTTAATCCCCCTCGGAGACTATACAATGCCGAGACTAACTCCTGCTCTAATGAGCGGAGGGGCATTTGCAGCTCTGCGTCTCCCAAGCTGGCTTCACACTGGGGGAAGAATTTCACATTAACTGGAAAGATGTTCTGTCTGTTATTGCTAAAGCTAGGACGACTTGCTGTCCTTGATCCATTTCGGTACTGGGAAAGAGTAACAAATGGAATCTGATCAGAAACTTGTCAACATGTTGTCAGCGTTTCAACCCTTCCAGACCTGGTAGGGTCAGTTCTCTGCTCCCAGGTGCACATCAGGGAGGGATTAGCATTATCCTGTATGTTGTTCTTTTCTCTCTCTTTTTTGATCACATTTTCAGCATTTTGTGGTCAACATGTTATTCCAACAGAAATTCTAAAGGATAACTCTAGAACCTCTTTGTCTTTAAAGCAAAAAATAACTCTTAGGATAATCAGATAACCCCAAGATTGTATTTTTATAGGCAGAATATAAATTTTTAAACACTTCAGTAGAATAACAAATACAAAAGAGAAATTGACCAAAAGTCTAGTGTAACCTTTTAAATTAAACACCAAACCTATGACAGAATGAAAAGAGTTTCATTAAAATGTGGGGCATCATTAAATTCATTCTACTGGTATATCATTTAGAAAATCCCCAATCACGTTATTTACAAAATTTGCTTGCCACATTTTTTAAATGTTTGAGGTTTTACCGTCCTTCATTTACAGAGAGGGTAGAACAAGAGACTGAAAAGATTAATCAGCTCCGTTTCCAATGAAGGGTTTTTGAGCTTAGTCATAGGTACCAAGCAGGAGGCAGGAGACCCACAGCACAGACCCGGTCTTCACGAGCTGTTGGTCTAGTTGAGGGAACAAAACATGAATACCTGAAAATATACATATGGAAAAGCAAGAAGTCTCAGGTAGCCAATAAGTGGTACAGCTACAAACATGCAGATTGTCCATTGTTCCCC